TCATCGGTGCTGTATGGGCCGTCACGGATGGCGGTTCGGATGGCGCGGTAGATGGCTGGCAGAGGTGGCTTCTTCATCAGCAGTCAGAGGATACACGTACACCTGCCATAGATGCACGCACGCATGAACACGCAATCATAACACACACGCAGATAGAGAGTGTGAGGTCATCATGCTTCGGTTGCACTCCATGCCACGCCGTTGCTGTTGCTGTTGCTGTGTTGGTGGGTCTTCACCTTGAACGATGGGCACGTGCGAAGAGGATCGACGGATATGCCGTGCGCGGTGATCGCTGACATCAGGGCCGCCAATGGCAGTGCGATAGTGCAGCGGCATCTCGGGGCAGTGCGTTCTGGTAACAGTGGTGGTTGTGGTGGAGACGATGGCTGCGTTTGTTGTGTGGTGAGGCGCGCGGATGAAAGGGGATGGGGGGAGTGTTGGGAGATATCTGCAACAAACCGCTGCACACACACACACACACACACACACACACACACATACACATACACACACACACATACACACACATACGGGTACACACACGCACACACACAAACACACGCACTGTGTCAAAGAGTTCATTCTCTTCGGCAGACATGATGCTGTAGAGACGACGCCGTGAAGAGAGCCGCAGAGAAGGATTGCAAGACGATGGCGAGTGATGAGTGGTTCAGTGTGCACACCTCCACCACCAGCAGCAGCAGCAGCAGCGGCAGCGGCGGCCGCAATGCACACGCAACAACAACACAATTCGGTGGTCGCACCTCATGTCACCATCATCCTTGTGCCGGAGCAGCGCCTCCCCTTCCTCTCTTCAGCTGAAGGCGTACCCTGTGGCCCAAACACACACGAGGAACAGAGATCAGGACAACACATCGTAGCACAAGATCAAACGATTGCAAGCAAAGAACCCACAGCAGACGCATGGCAGAATGACCACGTCGACGACACATATTCACACACGCTTACACATACAGTGTGCGCATACTTTTGAAAGCATTCGCTCTGTCCCGCCACGAGCAGCATCTTGCCAATGTCACCAACACTTTTGAAAGCATTCGCTCTGTCCCGCCACGAGCAGCATCTTGCCAATGTCACCAACACTCTGCCCCATCGACGCAACCAAGGGAACGTGCGCAAGAGTGATAAGCCGTCATCACACGGTTGCCGAGCGAAACGAGAAACACACACACACACACACGTCGCTCAGCCGTCATCACACGGTTGCCGAGCGAAACGAGAAACACACACACACACACACGTCGCTCACTGTCATGATGAGACGCAAGCATTCCATCATCCTCCCCAACACTCGCGCATCACACATGTCCAGCGAGATGATGCCGCGCAAGCGGGCTGTTGTGGGGTGTGTGTGTGTGTGAAAACCACGTGTGCATGGGGCAGGTGATGAGCACCTACAGCGTGCATGCCATGTAAACTGACTTGATGGCAAACTGGGGGATGAATGACGTGTGACTGTAATCACGAGAGAAGACTGACCGATGTCAGCGCAAATGCTGTGATTGCTCGCCCGGTACCGCTGTGGAGGTGCGTCCCACTCAAACGCGGCCTTCTGTGTTGCTGGTGCCTTGGTCTCCGCCACTCTCACTTGCCGATTCCTGTCTGTTTGTTGTTTGCGTGGGAGGAAGAGAGGATGCATCCGTGAGAATACACGTGCCAACAGCAGCAGCACCAGCACCAGCAGCAGTGATAGCAGTGACAGCAGTGGTTGTGGTTTGGAAATCGGATCACCACCGTGCACTGATACACACACACAACACACACAGAGCGGAGATGTGATTGCACCCACCTCGCAGGTGGCCGTGAGTGACACTGCTTGTCGCTTGCCTTGTGGTGTGCATATGTCAGCGGCAAGTGTTGCTAGTGCACGCTCAAGAGCGTCGTTAGGTTTCTGCAGGCCACTGCCATATCCAATCACAAGAGAACAGCACATGCTCACGTCAGCCAAGCACAACAACGACGACCTGACGACGACGAAACCACCACTTTCAGCAGGCGCGCAGCCCCCTGCACGCATCCTTGTGCCACAAGAAGAAGGAAAGAAGGGAGTCCACACCCACACCCACAACAAGACAGCAACAGCAACAACCGACAGCACTGCCATCACAACAGACACCGCGTCCCACGTTCACATACTTGGTTGCCTGACGCATGGAACGAACGAATAGCGCCAAGAAGAAGAAGAACAAGAAGCAGAAGTCGAGGAAGGAACAGTGGGCATGATGTGTGTTGGCTCACCTGAGGATCGTTGACGTGATGTGACGCCTGCTTCGTGTGTGTGTGTGTGTGCATGTGTGTGTGTGTGTGTGTCAGAGACCTTTCTTCCACATTGGTCTGGTTGGCTGTTGGCTGGTGACTGGGTAGCGATCACCAACAATCCCCTCTTCCCCTCTCCCACATCTCTCTTCTCCCCCATGCTGCTGTTGCAGTGACTGCCACATCACCCCCTCCTTCCTTCCTTGCCTTGCCTTGCCTCGCTGTGTGCACTGCACCAAAGAGAACAAGAAGAAGAAGAAGAAGAAGAAGAAGAAGAGTGCAAGCAAGCGAGTTTGGGCTGCCACATCTCCACCCAGTCGTGTCATCGACTGATTTCAGCTTTTCCCCGTCTTCTTCTGCACAAACACGCGCAACAGACGTTTGTCGTGGCTGGTTGCGCGCAATGCACACACACACACCACACACACACACACACGCTGCATTCGCTGCGACGAAAGGAAAGGATGGATGGGAAGGTGCGTCGTGGTGGTTGGCGGTGGTGGTTTGGTCACACTCTCAGCCACACCAACAACAGCAGCAGCAGCAGCAGGGAGCAGCAGGGGGATATTGATGATGATGACAATGACCTGGCCTCGGACATCCTCTGCGTCCGCTCTGTCCGCTCTGAGATCGTCCGCTCTGAGCTGTCCGCTCGAGCGGACAGATAATTGTAAACAGCGCACATAATTATCGTGGCTCGCAGATGATTATCAATGTACCGGCGACTTTTACTTACAACACTTTGGCGCCATGCAACCAACACAACAGAAACCACACACACCACAACACACACGCACCACAACACAACACACACCTTCTCAGCGGCTTCTCAGCTTCTCTTTTTCTCGCGCGCGCGCCAAACACCCTCCCGCGCGCGCCAAACAACTTCTCGCGCGCGCCTCCATTGGGCTATCTCTCATCCCATCGTCTACCAACAGTCTCAACACGCAGGCGTTCATTTTCACGACAGAAATAAGCAACGATGTCGAAGCCAGTGTTTGTTGAGGAGCTGCATACGGATGTGGCTGATGTCGTCGCATTTCACCCAACGTTCGACGTGAGTGTGATGTCAGGTCACCTTGTCTTGGGTTTGTGGTTTGGCTCAGAGTTTCCGCTCAACCTCAACCACGCATTCGCATGCATGCGTACAGGTATTCACACAGCATCTGCAAGCTGCTGGCTATTCTTCAGCGGATTGCACGTTTACCTTTGGCGGCCGTGAAGTTACTCTCAAGGAGAATTCATGGCCCTTTTTTGTGCACCAATACCAAACAGACAGCAAGACAGCTTTGCACGTGTCTCGTGTCACTCGAGTGACTCGGCGCTTCGCGTCGTCCTCAGCCCAGCCACAAGGTGACCAAGCTGTAGACCCAGACGTGCCCCTCCCCAAGAAGGCAAAGAGACCAGGAGAAACGCACAAGGCTGTCACCCTTGCGCGCGCAGTGCTGCGATCCCGCGCCCACGGAGTGAAAATCATGGGCGGAGACTACGCGTACGAACTGTCCAAAGCACAGCTTACAATCGGCACACACGAGTGCGTGTTTGTACAACTTGTTGCTGATGCACTCTTTGAACACGATGCCATGCGAAGGACGTGGTCTTTAGTACGCGACAAGCTGGTGGTCATTCCAGTGATGCGCATACCAGAGTGGCAAACGCTGGTGGCAGCCAAGCACAAGTTGGGTTTGCCTTCGCTCTGTCTTGTTGCCGGTCATGCGCTTTCAGCCCGTGCGTTCTTGGCCCAGAAGCTGGGTGCACGAGGGGTTGTATTTTGTAATGAGCGACGCAAGCACCCACAATCTCTCCTCGCTGACGTGGCGGAGTCTCTCGCACATCGTGATCTTGACTCAGAATGCGATATCCCCGTTGCGGTCGCCATGGCAGATCTATCGGCACAGTTCACGTGTGTGTGTGTGTGTGTGTGTGTGTGTGTGTGTGTGTGTGGCTACACATGTGTGCGCGTGTGGGTTTGTGTGGGTGAATGTATTTTGTTTTAATAGCCTGTGGTATTGGTGCTCACAGGGAGCACCTGCAATTCCCTGGGCACGTACACTTACCACGGCTCACATAGGCTGCCTTGTGTGTTACCCTTGTGTACCTACCATGTGGCAGGTGGCACGACGGAGCATCACATATGGTGCAACACCTTGAGGTACTGGCTTGCGATGGGATGGCAACTCAACGCTCTCCGGACACACCTGTGGACACGCCTGCAGAGCCGTCATCATCCAGCGTGACCACGTTGCATGTGACAGATCCGCATGAGCACGGTGCAACCCTGGACCCGGATGAACACACTGATTCAGGCCAGGCCCTACCTGTTCTTGCAAAACAACGTGCGGAACGGATTCAGAAGATTGGCGACCTTCAGGTATTTATTGAGATGATACTGCGGGTATTCGAGGAGTCTTGTTTGGTCTGTATATTCGAACATAAGTCTCATACGTGGCGTGCTGTCCTTTCTTGCTCCCGCTGGTGTAGGCGTTGGGTTACCGGAAGCCGCGCTTTGTTGTCCGATTTGTGCATGGCAAGAATCGCACGATGATACACGTTCTGTGCCCTGCATGCCCCCCGGCGAAAAACGAAAAGCAGTTCAGCGACATGAAAAAGGCGCGAGATCATGCCAGCACTTGCACCAACAAGACAGCGAGATCCGGGCCAGGCACGTCCTTGCAAGACATTCGTGTCTCACTGGCACGTGTTAGAAAAGCACAAGATACGCCGAGCATTGACACTGCACAGTTGACCAAGTTCATCGATTGCGAACAATGGGCTGAAGCTGGACCACCAACAGCAGATGATATTGAGCAGTATGTTTTGAAACATTCGTTGCATTGAAGGTTGTCCATCATATTCTGCTTGAGGTGTCTCTTACTTGATGTTGACCAATGCAACAGTTCGTACTGGCTAATAAACAGAGCATGTTTGTGTCAATGAATTCAGGTCATATGGGGGCATGTGTAATGCGCTCGAATTGTCGCTAAGACTTGGCATCGTATCCCACAGTGCACCCCACATGGAAGCCCTTCGTCTCACAATCAACCAAGTGCTGGGGGAAACAACGACGGGCATCACCAGATATTCTCCACTGTTTCACATAGCCCTTGATATAGCGCTAACGTATGGGTGTGGGGCATTAGATGACCTCGCTCGTGCTGACCTATTGCCGTGCAGCTCCCGCACGATGAGAAGGTACTTTCTTCCAGCCCAATGCACCAATGGAGTGAACAATTCACTGTTACTTAATTTTCTCCGAGTTTCAGCCGCAAGCGGAGCGGTATTCAACAGTCCACAATGCAAGGCCATTGCGTGTGCGATTGCTGTGGATGGGCTCAGCTTAAGCAAAGACATTTGCTATGATGAAGTGTCGGACATGTTTTATGGTCCGTTACCGCCTGTGTCGCCCGAGGAGATGCGACAAAAGTTGGGTAACGTTGCTGAACTTTGGGAATGGTTAGACTCTGTCGAATGGGCAGACAATGCACATTTGGCATGCTTGACAACAGTGGACGGTGCAGTGTCCTGCCCGATTGCAGTCAACTACACATCTCACCTTCGAGGGCCTCAACAGGTATTTAAACTTGGTGCGTGCTTGGTGACACAGTGTGATATGCCTGTTGCATCTGCGTTGGTGAATCACGCTACACGTAACACCAGTGCAATTGCATGCATCGCAGGTAGAATTGCTCATGAGCGACACGCTGAAAGGCGTTTGCCAATGTCAGCGATGCTTAGAAAACGATGTTGCGTGCCATTACGAGGAGGGTCTGGAACAGCTAGCTCAGGATTCAGCTTGTATTGCTTGCAAAGAGGCGGGTGTGCAATGTGTCCGCATTCAGGTCGTCGTCACAGTGATGGATTCAGAGTCGAGTCAGCTTACCTGGCAGCAGAGGTTGCCTAAAACTGCCATCTGTTCCATTCCAGACATTGCACACCTCGCGAAAGCCATGAGGAATTATATCATCAACCACTACATATGGCTGGAAGGCTATCTTATCAACACTCGCCAGCTCATTTGGTTACACACCAACGACCTCTGTACAATTAATCCAGTTTGCTGTATTCCCCGAGATCGCACCAGCCACACTCACCTTGAACAGCTGTTGATGGCAGATATTCCTGACGCGGTTACAGCTCACCAGCTCTATCCGGACCCAATTGACTACAAGTCGTCCTCATCTGCCACCCGTTCCCCTTATTCCTTCATCACATCGACGTGCATCGGGATGAAATACGATCTTGTTGTCGACAATGAAGTAGCTTTCCTCGTGAAGCGCTCCGATCCTTCAGTTCGCACTGAAACATCAGCTCGTGGCGTAAAGAGCGCATGCTTACTCAGTGGCACATCAAATTGGCTGCTGTTGTGTTCCACGGGAATCCTCAAGATGTCACACACAGGAAAAATCACCACGTTGAAAGTCGAGAGCACCCTGTCCACGCTAGATCATATCCACTTCCATTCTGCAAGCGAAGGGTTGGCGGTGTCAGGCAAGGCGGTTGGACGCTGTGTTATTGAAGGAGATACCATCCGTGTTACGGATGTTGAGCTCTTCTCAATCACGATTCGAGAAGCTGTCAGGTGTGGAGACATGATTTACTTAGCGACAGACAATGGATTGATGAAGTGTCAGGACGAGCAGCAGAGCACACCATTTATGGAAAAAGTGTGGCATCTGTCAGTCTCTGGAGATTCGGTTGTGTTTTCTTGTGCGTCAGGAATCTTCTCCTGTGTCAACGAAACAGTGACACCAGTGCTACAACGCACACTCAACTACCCTGCACCCATATCAGTGCTACGGCATACGGTGCTACTGGGTGAAAGAAACAAGGTCACAATTGTGTCCAGCACAGTACCGTTGAAACGCTACTTGAGGAAAGTACGCAATCTATACACTGCCGGGGGTTTACTTGATCGCCAGAGAAAGAAGGACTGCACGCTGCAGGAAGCAATAGCACACGTCCGTGATGTGCATGAATACACGGTTGACCAATACGAGCAGCAACTACAAATTACCGCAGGCACTTCAAGCCCGGAGTCACTGCAAGGGCCAGGTGGTCTGTTTGCACGAACTCTCGTTGCCCGCCAAGAACTGTTGCTTGAAGGACTGACACGACTGAACAAAACTCTCTCTGGAATGCTGGTGTATAGTCGAGCAATTCAAGAAGACGTCGTGGAGAGTGCCTTTGCGCAGATTCTGAAGCACACATCCGCTGCGCTCACCCAAAGAGAATTCGGTTACAAGTTCCCAAAAGTGGGACAACTGATGTTACTACGCATACAGCAGGGGCGCAAACGTCTGTTTACATTCAACCATCAGCAACGAATGTATGCAGGAGTGCAGCTTGGTACACAAACTGGTGTGCCAATCGATGCGACCTTAGAGACACCCATTAAACCGGCACTCCCAGACAGAACAGCGTCAAAGGAGCTCTATGCACGGGTCAGAGAAGTCATTGGCGACAAAACAGTTGTGTCGCGGATCCGAGGACTCAAGAAGCAGCGACCTGGCACAAAACCAGCCCTGAGGTACCTTCTCCACAGGAATGCTCTTACAAGCAACCTTGATGGTGTTGCCCTCAGCGTGATGAACGATATCGTTTTTTGTGCTCATTCATTCATGGCTATTCGTGGCCCCAATCACAAAGTATGGTTTGCACAGTTGACAGTCAATGTGTCACAACACCAACTGGATCGAGGAGCTGACCTTGCTCTGACTTGGCTTGAATGCGAGAATGACAAGTGGGTGTTTGGCAACCCGGATCTAATCTCAACAAAGTCTTTGATTTGTGACGTTTCGGAGCATATCACTCAAGACCCCTTGCATGTGAGCGTGCAAGCGATCGCTGAAGCCAAGCAAAGCATGGCAAGCCTCATTCCACCAAGACAGAACTCAAGTGGAATTTCAGAGCGCGTCTACAGGACTACAAAGGACGACAGACGACGACGACAAGGACAACGACAGCACCCTAGTTAACACTTCAACGACCACTGTTCCTGAAGTTCCCTGTTCCTTTACCCCTTGTTCCTCATTCTGAAGGCAAAATGCATGATTTTCGCATTTCCGTGTCCGCTGTCCGCTCTGTGAATCTGTCCGCTGCAGCGGACAAAATGCAATAGAGCGGATGTCCGAGGCCAGAATGACACAAGCAATCCATCAATCAAGCAATCAAGCAGACGAGCAAGCACACAAGCAAGAAGCAAGCAAGCCAAACAAAGGGACAAGTATTCATTCACTCCGCTTGGACGAGCGACACGTCCACCACGTGGTGCGTGCGTGTGTGTTGTACTCACTGCTCTGCCCTCCTTTACACTGTTCCTCCCTGCCTCGCAGTCCACTCTCCCTTTCTACCCTTTGCACACCCTTTGCTTGACCTGCTCTCTGCACACCCTCTCTTCTCCACCCCCCCGCCCCTTCACTCACACGTCTCAAGTCACATGTCTCTCATCTCACCCTTTGCTTTTGGCTGCAACGCTGCGCGTCTTCATCTCCACCACCACCACCTGTTTGGCAGGCTGACGATGAGGATGATGATGGTGGCTTGAACGACAGTACCGTGTCCTTGAGCGCGTGCCATCACCGTGTGCCACGACAACAAGAGGCACTTCCTTCTCTCTCGCTCTGTCTCGGTATGTGTGTGGCTGATGGCGTGGGGGGGGGTGTTGCCTGGGATTTCCATTCCACTGCACTGTACCTCAGTGCGCTGCGTGCCGCGACATGCACACCACAGTTTGCACTCCTCCTCCCCCACTTATCCCCTCGGCATGTCCTTGTCCTTGTCAACCACCTCCCCTCGTCCATCACACCCCACCCCCCCCCACACCCCACACATACTCTCTCTCCTTTACCCCTGTCACGATGTGTGCTTGCTTCAAAGCAGGCCGCTGACATTGTCATCACCGCTGTCAGACGGTGGTCGGTGCCATGCACGAGCATGGAGACAGTGAGCCAGCTCGTGGTCTCCAGCGTGGTGGCTGGAATGTGCACTGAGGTGAAGGATCCCACCACCACACTTCCGCTTCCATGCCGCCATGGCTGACACCACTGGCACTGCTGGTTAACACGCACCAGCAGGCATCGCTCCCAGCGCCACACATGTGTGTCTGTGTGTGTGTGTGTGTGTGTGTGTGTATGTGTGATTGAATTCATTTGCACTCGTTGCCCCTCCCGCATGTCGAAACAACCACGCACACCGACCACCCCTCGTCAACACAACACCATTCAACATCCCCACTGGGCTGATGCAGGGCTGCACTGGCACGTCGTGCACGACAGCTTCTCATCGTCAGTTCTCCCTTCTCTCCTGTTTTGTCTTCACACAGGTCGCATCACCCCCGCCCCACCCTCCCGTTGCACGCGCTTCCCCACCCTCCCGTTGCACGCGTGCACACCTGCTGCTGCAGCCAACCACCCACACACATCGTCGCCGCAACGCCGCATCAACCAACCGCAGCCACTGACAGCCACGGGCATTGCACCTTTGCTGCCAGCACGTGGCCCCACCTCAACCTGCCACATCATCATCACTGCCATGTGTGTGTGTGTGTGTGTGCATGCATGCGTGTTCACACCATCGTCAACCACACCACGCCAACACAGCAACAGCTGCACTGCTTGCTGTCCTGCGCGGCGTTGTGGCGCTGCACTCAAGGCCCTTTGTCAACCAGTTTCCCGCTGCTAGCTGTGCTTCTCCCTGCCCATCTCAATCACCTCAGCTTCAACCACAACTGCTGCTGTTTTTCGCCACCTCATCTTCTGCCAGCGACGTATCCCACCGCGGTCATAGCCGTCACTGCACGCTGCCGGTTTCAAGCAGCTCACTGCGCTGGACGCTGTTGGCTCGTGGACCACCACACCGTTGTTGGAAGAGGGATTGGCCGTGATTGTGGCGGTTGTTGTGGTGGTACTGCACGCCATGACAACAACAGCGGCAGTTGATGAGGTGATGGTGTGTTTGCACTCCTCACTGGTTGCAGCGGCAGCAAGGAGGCGGCCATCGTGTTTCTGGTTCGCATGCATGTGCTGGCCAACGTGGCGCAGGAGCGGTTCTTGGACTACGACAACGACTCTGTGCCGTTTATGAAGAACATTCTCCAGCACGCGAACGACAGGCAATACCGCATGCTGCGCGGCCTGTGGGCGTGTTTGTTTGCAAGGACATGTTTGCGCCGGATGCACACGACCTCATGCACATTATGTAAGCCAGCGCCGCCCAGATTGAGGAGGATGATCCACAACCCACATACATCCACACAAGGTGCGCTCAAGGCCAAGAGAGAGAGAGAGAGAGAGAGAGAGAGAGAGAGAGAGAGAGAGAGAGAGAGAGAGAGAGAGGGTGTGTGTGTGTGTGTGTGTTCATGAACATGTGTGAACATGTCGCTTCGTCGTTTCCCTCCTTTCTCCACTTTCGCCTTGCCAAGCCTCACCGCCACCCCTTGTCGTCCTGCCGCGTTCAGGCTGTTGAGTCGCTGCTCGCTGTGATTCAGGGTGCCCGGCTCCCGCGCATCCCCCAACTCCGGCGCGACCGAGAACTGCATCTCCGTCTTTGTCAAGATTGCACATGGCCTCTCAGAGGTGTGTGTGTGTGTGTGTGTGTGTGTGTGTGTGTGTGTGTGTGTGTGTGTGTGTGTGTGTGTGTGTGTGTGTGTGTGTGTGTGTGTGTGTGTGTGCGTTGCGACACTCCTTCTTCGCCGTCCTTTGACATTGGTTGTTTGTTCTTTGTTGTCACGTTGTCGTCGCTTATTCTTTACCTCCTCATCCACCCATCCACCACCAACCCTTGCACAGACGAGATGCTGACACATCTGCTTGACTGGCTGTCTATTACAGAAGACGACGATGAGGCAAAGTACATCTTCACATGCCTCGTCGAGGTCCTCCAAGCGTGAGTGCTACGACTGTGTTTTGTGTGTGTGTGGGTGTATGTGTGTGTGTGTGTGTGTGCATGTGTCGGTGGTGTGCTCTGCCGCCTGTCGTTCTTGTTCCCGACTGACTCCCCCGTCCCCCCTCCCCCATTGCTCCCTCTCCTTCCTTGTGTTGTTGCTTCAGTCGGCAAGATCCACGCGTGACCGCGCCTGAGAGCCCGGTGAAGATTGTGCGTGCGTTTGTTTGTGCAGGTGATTGGCACACCCGCGGCCGCCGTCAACGAGCCCCACTGCCCAGGGCATGTACACAGCCTCATTGTGCGTGGGTTGTGTTGTGTGTGTTTTATGTGTTGTGTGTGTGTGTGTGTGTGTTTGCTGCCTCGAATATGCGCGATTGTCGTGTACTTCGTGTACTTTCCCATCCTCTTCCTCCTCTTCCTCCCTCCTCCTCATTCTCACACTCCTCATTCTCACGCCCTCGTGTCGTTTCCTCTCGTAGAACATGCAGGATTCGCCTGCCCACGGTGTGTTGGGGCAGTTGATGCAGGATCCACAGGTGCACGCCCGCGTGCAGTGCGCTGTTGAGGCGCTTAGCTCGTCCGCGTAGTCGCCATGTTGTGATGTGTCGTGTCAACTTGTGCACCAGTTGAACGAATGGCTGAATGTCTGTCGATTCCTCTGTTACATTCCTCTTGTTGCTCTTTTCCCTCTTCCCTTCTCTTCTTGTTCTTCTCTTCTGTTCTTCCCTTCCTTCACTCTCCCTCTCGCCTGCTTGCTTGCTTGCTTATGTCACGCCCTTCTTGTGCTTGCCTGTTGTTTCCATTGTATGGCGCTGTGTACGGCTGAACACGTTCTTGGTGTGTTTGGTGGATGTGCTGCTGCTGCTGCTGTGTGTGTTTGATTCTGGCTTGTGACTGGATGGTGCTGTTTGATGTGCAGAGGGTTTGGCTGTTGTTTGGTTGGCTTGGCTTCATGTTGCGTGTGGGCACTGCTGTGTGTGTGTGTGGATGTGTGTTGGGAGTGTTGTTTGTGGGTTGGACTGGGAGCGTTGTTTGTGGGTTGTGTGGCGGACCTGTTCCTTCCTCAGTAAATGGCTCGATGAAAATGATGAGACCCGCTTGACGGTGGTGATGGTGGAGCGGCGGTGATGTTTGTGGTGTTGATGTGGCTACAGACATTGGTGTATTGTACCGACCAGGCAAGACCAAAAGAAGCTGGGAGGGAGCGGCTGTTGTTCCTTTCGGCGCGACAAAGCGAGTTGCGTTGCTGCTGGTTGGCTGGAGGCACTTCATCCTGTTTGTTTGTTGTGTTCCGTCAGGAACGAGGGCTCGAAGAGATTGTTGACGAACATCTTCCACGGAAGCGCTGCTGTGCGGATAACCTCTGAAAGGTTTTGCGAATCGTCCAATGGCTGAGTCGCAAAACAACAACACAAAGGAAACAAACAAAAAGCAGCGCGTTGAGTTGTCGTCCATTTTGTCGTCGTCTTCTTCCAGTCACTCACGAACACGTCACAACAAGCCACAAGGAGAAAAGACGACGCGCCGCCATGTCCGGCAGCGCAAAGGCGGCGCAGCCGCCGGTTAGGGAAAACCCTGTGCGACAAATCTGGTTCGGGTAGCGCAGCGATGCGGGAGCGAGCGTAGCGGTTAGCGGGGGTAGGGCTTCACAGCATGCGATTTGATGGTTAGTGGACGCGCCTCGAGCTTTTGCGCGTGGTCACGAACCGGCAATGCTCACTTCGCAACCGTAGTTTAGCAATGGTCACCGGTAATATTTTTTAAAACCCTGTCGTCGTCCATTTGTCGTTGTCTTCTTCCAGCTCACGAGC